CCTAACCTAAAAATAAGCCCTAGTATGATTTTTCAGGATGGTCGTAATATAAGCCCTACCCCCAAAATATGCCCCAGTTAAGTGAATGCCCATCCTACCCCCAAAATATGCCCCAGTTGAGTGAAAGCCCACCCTCCACCCTTGTGCATCAACCTGAAGAAGAAGATTTGACTGTATTTGAATAAATGTAGATGGTTGTACATGAAAAAAAAAATCCCCTGAAAATAAGCCCTAATGTGTTTTTGGAGCAAACATTAATATAAGACCCTGTCTTATTTTCAGGGAAACACAGTATGTGCAGCACAAATACTGGTGGCACTCAAACAGATGGCAAGAAACACAACTCCACACCTATTTTCTGAGGGTTGTTAGAAAAATAAAATCTTTGGGGGGAGCATTTGAGTCACTTTTGGAGACCAGTGAAGACCCCTTTTTCCCCCAACAATTTTAGCAGGTAATTTCTGGCTGCGATTTGTATTGGCTTGTTTTCTCTAGTCGTTTTAAATCTAATTTTTACACTGGTTACTGTTCCTTCTGTCCTTTAAAATATTTTTTTTTCAAAATTCACCATCAGGTTTATGATTAATGTAAACACTTTCGATGTTTTAATAAGAAAAGGGGTATGTAAATACTTTAGATGCACTGATTAAAATCCTGTTACTTACGTTCTCTCATGTGAGCCAAATGGTTTAAATCTCAGTGCTGAAATGCTGTTAGCTGAGGAGCTAATGCCTGTGTTTCTTCTCCTGCATGAATTGTGTGACCTGGTACGTAACCCTCCTAAACACTCGGAAAGGTTAGTGAGAATTGACTCACATTCTTATGTATACTGATAAAGGTACCCTGAGAATGCAGTGATGATTAACAGAGAGACATATTGGTTAGGGTGGTTTCCTCACTGAAGATGTTGGGTGTGAAGAAAGGAAATTCAATGTGAGGGATAAGGTGACCACAATCTTGTTGTGAAGCTATGTGACAGAAAGGCAATGGTGTTAACAACATTAACAACAGTATGCTGCTGCGAGTTACACCATTACACTGATGGCTGTGTGACTCTGCAAAAGGATTTTGGCCAATGTTTTTAAAAAATCAAGAATGCTTCCATGTTACTGTATTATAACTGTGTGATAGTGGAACTATGTTACAGTGGTGCCTCACTTAGCGATGTTAATCCGTTCCGGAAAAAAACATCGCTAAGTGATTTAATCGCTAAGCGATATTAAAAAGCCCATGGGAACGTATTAAAACGTGTTTAATACGTTCCTATGGGCTAAGAACTTAAAGCGAAATTCCTTCATAGCGGCGGCCATTTTGGAACTGCCAATCAGCTGTTTAAAAAAGTTCGCTTTGCCATGATCGCTTCCCCGCGATCATGGCAAAGCGAATTTTAGCCATAGGGGCCATCGCTAAGCGATTATTCCAGCGATGGCCAAAAGTCCATCGCAAAGCGATTTCATCGTTCAATGGAGCAATCGCTAAGCGAGGCACCACTGTATTGTGCAGCAGAGCAAATCAGCATTCTAGAAGGCAATTCTAAAAATAGAAGTGGGCCAAAAAATTATAACTTTGAAACTAGAGTCCAGATTGCCACCAAATCTGGCACAAGTGGAGCAGATAGTTTGCACCTGCGCTGTGCTTACTTTGAGGAAGTTTGGGCAAATGATTTTTGAGTTATGATTTTTTAAGTAGTAAAACTCTTCTCACTCCCCCTGTCAAGGAGGCATCCTTCAGTCTCAAGAGACTATGGTAACGTGCTCTGTATGGAGAACTTGGAACAGCGTCTAGTTTTTTGATGGTGTACGTGAAGCTGGATTGTCCTCTCCAGGGCACGAAGCCTGGGTAAAATAACGGAGTCCCGGAGGCAGTTTGTGTCATTCTGTCAACTCCTGCGATGTCGCTGAAACCAGTTGTATTGGCTCTTGCCTTTCCATTGGACTATTTCAGCGATGTAGAGAGGGGGAATTTGCTGGCTGGGTAACAGCCTATCCTCCCTCCCCCTAATGTTTCAGGAATAGTTGACCCTACACATCCACTGGGGGGGCATGGTGGTGCTGTGGGTTAAACCTCAGAAGCTTCTGTGCTGCAAGGTCAGAAGACCAGCAGTCGTAAGATTGAATCCACGTGACGGAGTGAGCTCCCGCCACTTGTCCCAGCTCCTGCCAACCTAGCAGTTCAAAAGCATGCAAATACGAGTAAATAAATAGGGACCACTATGGTGGGAAGGTAACAGCGTTCCGTGTCTAGTCGTGCTGACCATGTGACCATAGAAACTATCTATGGACAAACGCTGGCTCTATGGCTTGGAGATGGGGATGAGCACCGTTCCTTAGAGTTGGACACAACTGGACTAAATGTCACGGGGAACCTTTACCTTTACCTTACACGTCCACTACCATTCACACTTGTTGAAAAATAGCTATGACAATTGCTTAGGGTGAGAACTGGTTAACTGAGGGGGGGAAAGAGTTGACTTCTGGAATTTCTCCTTGCTTGGTGGCACTTTGTGAACAGTAGTGAGCACAAGAGGGTATTCTGTAGGCGTGCAGCAATATTGGGCCATTTCCTGGCATTTTGAATCGTGGACACAGAAGCACAATATGCGACATTCATAAACCAGAGGGTTTTAAAAAAAAGAATTGAGTTTATATAGATATGTGATCAGATAATGAGAAACAAACAGCACCTCACTCAAAGTTTTTCTGGATCTGTTTGAGAAATGCAGTTAATCACTGAAATAGTTATGCACTTATAAGAGTGACTGACAAACAGAAGCAAAATGTCTCATTTTCTGCCTTCTTTCGTTGCTCTGGTAAAAAGTATGCTGTTTCCCAGCTGGCATTTATAGAAACTAGAGGACAAGCAGATGAATGCTGTGTTTAGGCTGTTAGGTGTTAAGGCAGCCTAGAACTTCTCCCTCTTTTCTAATGTACTCAACAAAAGACAGAAGACCAGCAGTCGTAAGATCGAATCCACGCGACGGAGTGAGCTCCCGTTGCTTTGTCCCAGCTCCTCACCAACCTAGCAGTTCGAAAGCATGTAAATGCGAGTAGATAAATAGGTACAATCTCAGTGGGAAGGTAAACAGCGTTCTGAATCTAAGTCGTGCTGGCCACGTGACAACGGAAACTGTCTTCGGCTCTACGGCTTGGGATGAGCACCACCCCCTAGAGTTGAACACGACTGACTAAAAAAAATGTCAAGGGGAACCTTTACCTATGGAATCAGAAGTGAACAGTTAGAGTGAAGTGTTCCGTCAGCATAAAAAAAATGTCAAGGGGAACCTTTACACCTATGGAATCACAAGTGAACAGTTAGAGTGAAGTGTTCCATCAGCAATGTAACCATTCAGTTAGTCAATAATGAAGTAAATTAAGCAGTTATGTTAGTAATGTAGCTAGTTAACATTTCCAGAAGATATGATGCTTGCTTTTATGTAAGAACTGTAAGGAGATGGAAACATTTTATTCTTCCTAATTTACCAGAGTCTCTGAGTGAATGTATTGAAACAAATAAAAGCCATTTGAGGCAAATTAACGAATAAAGGGTGGTTTGCTAACAGAAATTGTAGGTCAGTCTGCTCTGTAGGTTCCTGACCAAATACATTTTTAATCTGCGGTGTTATCAGAATGAACGCTGATTATTATTAAGGCCACACTCAGTTTTCCTCATGCCAAACTCTGCCATCCCACCCGAGCACCAACTTCTTCGTGAAGGCAGTGGGGTTGTGGTTTCTTAATCTCGTACATTGGCCTGTTGTTGTTTTGCCTACATGTTGCACGTGGCATCCTGGTCTTCTGTACTTGTTGAGATAAATTAAATTGCATGAGCTACAGATGATCTTTTGTTTTGTTTTATAGAATAGGTCCTGCCAGTCACAGTGCTGGTAAAACTCTCTCTCCCTCTGAGAAGTTGCTGGTGGTAATTTTCCCTCTCTCTCTCTCTCTCTCTCTCTGAGAAGTTGCTGGTGGTAATTTTCTGATAGGAAAGTCTCCTCCATGCTGTCATTCTCAAAGGCTTCCCCAAGGAAAAAGTGGTCCCTAAGCAGCCTTGGAACCTGAAGAGAGGGAATAGGAAGTTTTGAATTAAATTAAAACAAAGAGTAATGTTACTGGGTGATGAGACCATCCTCTTTGTCTGGCATAGGGTTGTGCAACAGGATTTTGGCCTCTGGGTTCTAAACACAGGGTAACTGTAACATGTAATTTGGCCCCCAGTCTTTCAAATTGTTATTCTGATGGGTAGCTTTCTGAGATGCATTATTTAGCTCAGTGGTTCCCAACCTTTGGTAAGTCTAAATCTGTTTATAATTTTAGAACTGCAAAGTTGGAATGGACTCAAGGATCGAGTCCAGGCCCTGTCAAGGGGGCACAGCAGGGCATTGAACCCCCAAGCTCTGGTTCCTCGTCCAGATACCTAAACCACTGAGCTATCTAGCAGTATCTAGGTGTTCTTGGACTGCACATCCCAGAAGCCCTCAGCGCTAACTGTGTTGGCCAGAATTTCTGGCTATTGCAGTCCAATAACATCTGAGTTATCCAAGGTTGGGAACCATAGTTTTCACTCACCCAGTGGCATGTAGGCAGAGGTGGAAGATTTATATGATCTGAAGAGAAACCTTGTTATTTTTACTTTGCATGTTGTTAATCATTTTTACTGATGGTTTAGAAAATATCTTACACTTGTTTTTATTTTAAGAAAAAGGTGCACTTCAGTAAAGTTCTACTTGCACTTTCAAAAGTTAATGTTAATTCATGAAAGGTTAGGTTTTTTTTTATAAATATGTGGTCTATGCTGCTTATTACTTTCATTTGAATGCCAGTTCAACTGCAAATTATTAGGGGATAGCAAACCTGCTGATTTCATGATGTAAGCATAACCAAGTCAAAAAAATCTCATTCATAGCAAGTGATATGTCAGCAAATAGGATGTGATGATGTGCAGAAAGACAAATGCATAAATTGCAATTTGAATAACATATTTTACATTTTCATTTTCTGCAGGTTAGAAAACATTGGGAAATTGGTCTGAAAAAACAATCATGATGGGATTAAAGAAGCCAACAGCCCTTCCTAGCAGTCTTCATCTTTCAGGTATTATATTGTTACTGTTGCTCATGGGCAAAGTACACTCAGAACACCAAACTGAAGATAACAGCACCAGAAATCTAGAATGTACTGGTACCTACATCTGCAAGAAAGGAGTGATTTTGCCAATCTGGGAACCTCAAGACCCTTCATTTGGAGATAAAATAGCAAGAGCTACTGTATACTTTGTGGCCATGGTCTACATGTTTCTAGGAGTGTCCATTATAGCTGACCGCTTCATGTCATCAATAGAAGTTATTACATCTCAGGAAAGAGAGATCACGATCAAGAAACCCAATGGTGAAACCACTAAGACAACAGTTAGAATTTGGAACGAGACTGTTTCCAACCTAACACTGATGGCCTTGGGCTCTTCTGCTCCTGAAATCCTCCTGTCTGTAATTGAAGTGTGTGGCCATGGCTTTACTGCAGGGGACCTTGGCCCAAGTACCATCGTAGGAAGTGCTGCCTTTAACATGTTTGTCATCATAGCACTTTGTGTTTATGTTGTCCCTGATGGGGAAATCAGGAAGATCAAGCATCTCCGTGTGTTCTTTGTCACTGCAGCTTGGAGCATCTTTGCCTACACTTGGCTTTACCTAATTTTGTCCGTCATATCACCGGGGATAGTAGAAGTCTGGGAAGGCTTGCTCACCTTTTTCTTTTTCCCAATCTGTGTGGTGTTTGCATGGGTTGCTGACAGACGGCTCTTGTTTTACAAGTACGTCTACAAGAAGTACAGGGCTGGCAAGCAGAGGGGCATGATCATCGAACATGAAGGTGAGGGGCCACAATCCAAAGCTGACATTGAAATGGATGGGAAAGTCGTTAATTCCCATGTGGAAAGTTTCTTAGATGGTACTCTGGTCTTAGAGGTGGATGAGAAGGATCAAGATGATGAAGAAGCAAGGAGAGAAATGGCTAGAATCCTTAAAGAGCTCAAACAGAAGCATCCAGACAAAGAAATTGAACAGTTGATAGAACTAGCTAACTATCAGGTTCTGAGCCAGCAGCAAAAGAGCCGAGCCTTTTACCGTATTCAGGCTACTCGCTTAATGACTGGAGCTGGCAATATACTGAAGAGACACGCAGCTGATCAAGCAAGGAAAGCGGTCAGCATGCATGAGGTCAACTGTGAAGTCACAGATAGCGACCCTGTCAGTAAAGTCTATTTTGAGCAAAGCACCTACCAGTGCCTTGAGAACTGTGGTACGGTAGCCCTAACTATTGCCCGCCGTGGTGGTGATTTGTCCAAAACTGTGTCTGTTGACTTCAGAACAGAAGATGGAACTGCCAACGCAGGTTCTGATTATGAATTCACTGAAGGGACTGTGGTATTTAAACCAGGTGAGACACAGAAAGAAATCCGGGTTGGCATAATTGACGACGATATATTTGAGGAAGATGAGAATTTCCTCGTTCACCTTAGCAATGTGAAGGTGTCCTCTGAGGAGTCTGAAGAAGAACTTTTAGAGGCCAATCATGTTACAACAGTAGCTTGCTTGGGATCCCCTGCTACAGCCACAGTCACTATTTTTGACGATGATCATGCTGGCATATTTACTTTTGAAGAGCCAGTGACTCACGTAAGTGAAAGTGTTGGGACCATGGAGGTGAAAGTGCTGCGGACATCTGGAGCCCGAGGAAATGTTATTGTGCCCTACAAAACAATTGAAGGCACAGCCAAAGGAGGTGGAGAGGACTTTGAAGATACTTGCGGGGAGCTTGAGTTTCAGAACGATGAGATTGTGTAAGTACTCCTTTGTGACTTGCCAACAGTGTGAAAATGTTTGCAAACATATCTGGTCAAATATCCTATCCAAGCTCTTCTGTTGTTCATGCTATATCACATGTTGGATTCTCTTGTAAGTGGCATAAGCTAAAAACGTGACAGACTTTAGATGCAGAGTGTGTCTACCATGCAGATTTTAAAGGTGGTGCAAAACCACGTGCATGTGAGAGAGTGTTACTGAAAAGTGTATATATAGGAACAGTAGCCTGGGTTGCAGAAGAAGTCCACATGGGTACACTGATATTCCCATTTTGGATATAATCACCATTTTGGATGTTCCAGTGATGAATGGCATAGAATAGTCAATTCTAGGAAATGGGCAAGATGGATGTAGCAATATTAATCTATTGCAGCAAAAGTGGCCATGCTGGCTGGGAGATTCTGGGAGTTGTAAACTAGAACAAGAAAGAAATCAAGTGATGTTTCTGCTTTGGAGCAGATCCTATGCAGAAGTTGTGATACGCTTTTCTAATGCCTTCAGCTCATCTTGTAAGGTCTTCTTAGAGGTTTGTGGGGATGGGCATGCTGCTTTCTTTGCAAGAAAAAAAAGGCTGCCTGCAACTAATAAACACAGTTAGATTGCAAGTTCAGAGAAGGTTGTCATTAGCCTTTGTGACATTGTGAAATATTTATGCTGTGTACTTTCAAGTTAATGTTGCCATGTGGGGGAAAGTCCAATTAGGCAAGGCAGCCAGGTTTGACAGTTTACAAATGGGAAAGCCTTTAGAAAGGAAACATCGCTGATAAGCATTTCCTGGCAGCTTAGCCTGGATTTTTGTTTTCTCTTTCTCTTTCTCTCTCTCTCTCTCTCTCTCTATATATATATATTTCTAGGCTTTCTTCTCTTTTCTTCACTTCACTTCTCTTCATTTGCAACTGTCTTTGTCTTTCTTATTGTACAGTAAAAGGCAGTTACTGTAAATAAAAGAATTGTAGTACTGTTGAAGTAAAAATGGCTGAAACAAGAGATTGGAAATATTGAGAGGTTATGATGAGCATGGTAATTAAATTGAAGCTTCTTGCCCCCATTAGGTTTACTTACTTTGCACCTAGTTCCACTTTCGTTCCATATATTGGACACCACGTTTTAAATGGGATATGACAAGTTTAGACATGCCCCACATGACATATGCTCTATTTCAATAGTATGCATGATGCTTTGATACTGTACAAAGAAGATGAAGTTAAGCATGCCCCACATGACATATGCTCTATTTCAGTAGTATGTATGATGCATTGATACTGTACAAAGAAGATGAGGCCGGTACAGTTTTTGTGCCAGTAAAGGCATTTAGCTATAACCTGGACCTATGTAACTACTAATCATTAGATATTTTTTTTCTTGAATTAAAGTGTGATACATTGGTGAAACTTGGATCAATCAGCTTCAACTAGGAATTTAGTGTTGCCTTTCCATATGCTTCAGCTTGAATTGTTTGGAGAACATAAAAAAGAACATAGAACTAACCAGAGTACAAAAGTTAACAGGGAGAAAACCTTGGTGCAAAACATAGCAAATTGTGATATACTACATTATACGGTATACATTTTTAAGAAGATTCTGCAGATATGTGAAAAGAAAGTATATGTGTAAAAAACATCCCATTTTGTGATACACTGAGGGATGTCACAAAGGCAGAATGACACCATTAAACAAGCAGTCTTTGATCTTAGAACTGACCAGCTGCTGCAGTGGACCAGTGCAGAAGAAGATTTATGATCTTTTACCAGATATAAGCTGTGAAAGATAAGAATTAACTTTTAAATCCACCTTCATAAATTTTGCAAGGAGGAAGGGAAGAAGAAAAGAGGGGAACTTAACAAATTATTAACATTCTCATCATTATCATATGTCAGAATTATGGGGGTGGGGTTGCTGGCTTTAAAAGAATGCAAATTGTACCCATTAAAACATTCTAGAGGAAGTGCAAAGAAATAACTTGAGTAGGAAAGTGGGGAGCAAAATAATATCAGTGTGTTATTCTGAGGTTATATGTTGAATCCAGACTATTTGCTTAAATCTTGTTTACATCTCTGAGAGCCGGTAGCATTGTTATGATTAAGAGGCTGTCTTATTCCATGTCTAGACATTTGCCTTTCTGTTTCAGTATTGTCTACATTTATTAGGAGTTAGTCTCCTGACCCATCTGGAGATGAACCTCAGGCTTGTTGAGTACAAAGCATGTTCTCTGCCACTGAACTGCAGCTCCTATTGAGCTACTGACTTAATCACATTTCCACTCCATTTACATATAAAGAAGAATGTGAGTGAGTGAGAGGGGGGGGAGAGAGATATCAGCAGTAAAACTTATGAATAGGGATATTATTGAAGTCACATCTGACTAATGGTGAATCTAATAGAATTTTCAGCAGGTGTGAGATGTTCAAGGAGTCATTATTCCAAAGTTTCCATAGCCTAGTGGAGATTTGGACCCAGACCTCCTGAATCTTAGTCCCATAGTCTTATCCTCTTACATTACATTGACTCTCATGAATCAGTGAGAAATACTGAATTCCCCTCCGCTCCCCGTGTTATTAAGGTAAGACTCTTGGATTTAAAGAGGGAAAGAGATGATATGAAAATCAGCACATTTTTTTCTGCCACTGAGAGTTCAGCATGCATGGCTTTTTGTTTCCAACATTAGGTAACTGTTTGAAAATGTTTGCCTTGCCAACAAATCATTATTTTTGGAAGACTATACAGTGATTATGAGCCTTAAACTCATTCATCAGGTCAGCTCATTAGCTGTGATCTGAGGCTGACATGGCTAATTTTAGAACCATATAGAATATTATAACTACACAGTGTAGATCTGATTGAAACATTTCCTAGTTTATATATTCAGGCACCCACACGTACACTCATGCACACATGTGTGCAAGAATAGTAGATCTCTTGAGGTAACCTTGTAAAAGAGTTACTCTGTATTTTACAGGTTGATGTAAAACTGCTTCCATGATCAGAAATCTAAAACAAGAGCAACAGAGCTTAGAAAGGGCAGTGAATGAAGATGTTCTTTAAAAAAGAAAAGAAAGAAAGCAGTAGCAGTACTCAAAGGTCTAAAGTTAGAACCGTGGCCTAATTTTTAGAGGTGCTGTGAGCCAAGAACTTTTGGTTAAAAATCAATAGGACTGTTGGGCGCTCAGTTCTTCTGAAAACGATCCTCTTTAGCCTCTAACATGCACTTCCTCAGGGCCCAATTATAGAAATCAAAGTTGCCTCATCATGTCTACAGAGGCTTTCCCATACTTCACAGCATGTTTTATGGTGCTTCCTCTTCCCTATGGTATATGGAAACCGCTTCAGGGTAGGAAGTGAATGCTGTTGTTTTACAGTAGCCTTTGTCTACTCTGTGCGTCCCACATGTGTCATTCTACGACTCCCATCATTCCTAGAATGCATAGCCATTGGCTGTGGGAATGATGGGTGCTGTGGTCCTGCAGATTTGAAGGGGACCAGATCTGAGAAAAGCTGCTTTTTTACAAGGACATACTGTACCCTTCCACTCTGAAGACATGCATTCAGGCATCTGTCCCTGCTGCTACCAGGATTTTCTTTCTGTAGTGTATCTGTCCATTTTTCCATAATGCTGCTGCTGATAATGACCGTGAGCATGAAAAAAGAATAGTGTAATACTATATTGGAATTGAGGAATGAGATGCTTCATGGTGACATAGCTCTACAATCCATTCGGCTCTGTGCACTGTGCATTTCTGCCAAAATCCTGTATGCTAATTTTTTTCCTCCCCCAGGTGAGTTCAGCTCTGGAAAAGAAGAGTCCATTGGAGCTTCATGAGCCCCAGTGTGAAGTAGTGGATAGAATGATGGAGTAGGACTGCTGGGTTTTTATTCCTGCTCAGCTATGGAAACTCACAGGGGTGGGGGTGGGTGGAATGGGTAAAACCATTCCATAACTATTTTTCTTACTTTGAAAGCTCTGTCGGGGTTGGCATAATTTGGTTCCTACTTACTTACTTACTTACTTACTTACTTACTTACTTACTTACTTACTTACTTACTTTACTTATTTATTTATTTATTTATTTATTTATTTATTTATTTATTTATTTATTTATTTATTTATTTATTTATTTATTTATTTAACTTGTATGCCGCCCACACTGCCCAAAGTTCTCTGGGTGGCTTACAACAATTTAAATATAATAAAAATATAAAGATAAAACAATTAAAATACTGTACAATTAAAAATACAGTACAGTACTCTAAAAATTGCCATCAGGACCCACAGTTGATATTATTTCAATTAAAAGCCTT